ATGCAGGCATATATGCTTTTGTTTTGCTGCACTGATGTAACTTATCTTTGCGCGCGTATGAATTCCACTTGCATGAAGTGTACAAAACTTATTCATTCATTATCAAAGCANCTTATCTTTGCGCGCGTATGAATTCCACTTGCATGAAGTGTACAAAACTTATTCATTCATTATCAAAGCAAAATTAAATCAGAAAATCAATGAAAGTGATGTTAATTGCAGTGCTCCTGACCCCTCGGCACGTCGTAGTTCAGAGGCTCCAAGAAGTCGACGTTGAACTGACAGCGAAGAGACGCAGCAAAGAAACTTCAGCTCAACTTTTTATCATTTTTTTTTCTGTTCGCTTGACCTCTCTTGCACACGTCTCTGCTGCTGCTGATCTTACTCAAATACTCAGGTTCGGCTGTTCGACTTCGGGTGTACAGATAGGGTTTAGGGTTTACGAGTGACAAAGAGTCTGCACCTGGTAGTCTTTGGACGTTTGCGCTCTCAGGGCCTCCACTGCAGCAGAAAAAAATACCAAATGAAGAGGGTTTAAGGTCAGAAGCTTCGGGCATAAGTGGGGAATGCGTGTCTGTTGCATGCAGTGCGAAGATTAAGGCTTCCGGCTGAGGATTGAAGGCGCGTTTCTGCACGTGCAAAGCCACTACGGTGTATTTAGGGTTAAGGGTTTGGGGTTTAGGTTTATCTGTGGCCTACGGTCTTCGGCTGGCCTGAAGTGTACCCAGCTGGACAAATCTACTGCCTCCTCGTAGCTGAGCCCTGAGCAGCAAAATGCATATTCCTTGAAAGGTTTGTGCAAATGAAACAAATGCATAGTCAACGAACATTGCAGATACAATACTAGTATAAAAACACAAAATACAGGCCAAGTGAGTGTGAAAATATTTTATAATCATGTAATATACTGGCCCCGGACACATGCAGGAAAGCATTCTAGCTCCAAAGAAACACAGAAAAAATCCAATTTTCATCATCTAAGCATGCCACCGCCTGGAGCAACACAATGTAACGGTGTAAAGGTGCTAGGTGCGCTGCTTTGGCCCCTTTTTCTGCCTCAAACCGAGAAACGATAGATAAAATAGCAGTATTTCAAGAGCCCATTGAACTGTAAGAATGCGCTCTTAGAACAAAAACCTTAACATCTGCTGCCTGCTGCTGACGCCTGCTGCCAGCCGCTGCCTGTTGCAGACTTTTGTTGCATGCAACGCGAATGTCTCCAGGCAATTCACGATTCAGCCAGGAGCAGGAAGTGCTGCGTGCTGTCCACTTATACCTTACCAACGCCCCCATGCGTAACCCCTAAGCCCTAATGCGTAAAGCCTAAAGTCTGCACCGTATCCTCTCACCCTGAAACTCCGTTGCTGGGATTATTTTGGTGCCATGGAGACGGTGAGCGCCGCGGGGAACTGCTGCTGTGGCGAAGTCGATGCGTTGCACCAAGGTGGCAAGCAGGTCAGCTTCAGTCTGCACGTTCTTCTTTGCCCCTTCTGTTGTCAGTAAGCACCCCACAATACCTTAACCACAAACGCTAAACCCTCTTTATTCTTTGTCTCCTCAGATTTCGATGATCAGAGATTCAAAAATGCCTAAATCATAAACCCGCTTTCTCCCTCTGGCGTGAGTAGATGCAGATGCAGCGACTACACCATAAACCGTAAGCAGTTAGTATTCACGCTTTTCTTGGCTCCCTCTGTTGCCGGGAGACACAAATGCCTTGCCTAAACCCTAAACCCTCGGCTATCAGTGAGCACTGATGCCTTTTTGCAGCGTCCCACCACACCGCAGCGATTAAGCAACCACAAACATGCACATGAAACTAGATCATAAACCCTAGCCTAAAACCAAAGTAAACACCCCCAATCGAAACAGCTGTGCATGGTCCCTCTGTTGTCAGCTATGAACAGTTGAGGAAGCGCAGAAGGTAAAATAACCCTAAAGCCTAACCCTAAACACTAAACCCTAAACACTAAACCGAAAGTCAACACACTTCACATGGTCACCACTCCCATACATTGTTAATACGAAGGTACAAACAAACATAGCAACTGGTATACTGTCTCCNCATGGTCACCACTCCCATACATTGTTAATACGAAGGTACAAACAAACATAGCAACTGGTATACTGTCTCCAGCCCTTTTCAAGGAGAGTGCAGGTGCCCCAGCTTTTGAACCATTAGCCCTAGCCATCAGCCTAGTTAGCCCTTAGACCCTATATATCCCATTCTAGGCAGCCATCATGCGCAACATTTCTTGTTCTGTTCAACCAGTGATGCAACACTCACCTCCCTCCTCCTCATCGCTCTGCGCTTCTGCCGTTGGGGCCGTTGGATCCTCTGAAAATGCATGGCAGCAGCAGCAGAGTGTGTACGTTGCCAGCATGACAGCTTATATTTGTATTTATAGCAGATGCTGCTGCACGTGTCGCATCATCGCCATAACATCACACACTGCTACTTAAAAAATGCTAAACACCAAACCCTTAACCACTGGCTCTTTCTGAAACGAACCCGGAGATTGAACGACTCTGGAAGGGTCCCCTGTCAACACGAGCGATTCTGGCCTCTCTTTGTTTCCGTTCATTTCCTTCTCAGGCAGTGGCCGAAAGTCAAATTGACTTGTGCTGCAGCAGCAGCAGCAACCGCAGCACACTTTTAAAGAGTTGCTGCAGCCTCCGCTGTAGAAAATAGTTACACTATGTAGGGAGGACCTCCAAGAGCGATTCGTACTCTTAACACCGAAATTATTGCTGAAGCCTCTGCTGCTGCGTTTGCTGCTGCTGGTGGCCCTTCACTCCGCGACTGGCGCTGCATTGCTGCTATATTTGCTGCAGTTTGTGTTGCGCCAAATACAGCGCCCTAAGCTGCAGTAAATACTGAACTAATCAGCTCATTGAGCGTTGTACTGCACACTTTCCTAGTTTTTAAGATGAACGCCGCAGCAGTTGCTGCACCAAATTATTGGTGCATATGCTAAGCCCAAAACCTCAAGGGGGTTAGAGCTTTGCTTTTCCGGTTAAGGTTTAGGCTTTGGCATCGCATGCAGCGGGTTCAGCACGGGCCTCGAGAGAAACGAGGGAGAATTCTACACTNTTTAGGCTTTGGCATCGCATGCAGCGGGTTCAGCACGGGCCTCGAGAGAAACGAGGGAGAATTCTACACTAAAGAATACATTATAATGGCTAAATGCTATAAGGGTTTAGGACTTGCGGTTAATTGCTATCTCTGGATTTCTAATGACTGAGGGTCCCTTGAAAAAGTGCAGAGAAAACTACAAGTCTATGCATTCCGAATTGGCATTCACCTCTACTTTTGAGTATATATGCCTGCACAGCCCTAAACTCTACGCCCTAAATGATTCACAAGTGTACACTGGTTTTCTCGCAGTCGAAAGAGCGGTTGTTACCTGAAATACATTTTCTTCCGAGGGTAGATATACTCGCTTTCTTCGAGTATAAAGGCTACGTAGTAGTCATCGTTCTGTCCCCTTATTCTTCCCCAGAAATAAACTTTGTCGGCCTTTGTCTTCCTTTGTAAAGTAAGTAGCGCCAGCTGGAGAGAGGTTATCTCGTGCACATTCAAATTGTTGCCGAGCCCGCTCAGATGCCTCATGCCTGCCTCCAACGCAGACACCTCCATTTTGGTTTAGGCTGTAGGGCTTAGGGTTTAGGGCCTAGGGTTTATGGTGGAGGCTAAAGGATTGAAGGTTCACGAAGATCTGCCGGAGGAGACGTGAGGGTCCTGCCCTTCTTCCGTCTCCCTGTTGTCTCCTGCTGCTTAACAGCTAAACGTCGGATATGCTGTCTTTACAAAATTAGCAGTGATATCCCCAAGTAGCATGAATGCAGCGTATTGTTTGGGGTTATCTCTGAGAAGGGGCAACACGGAGACTGCAGTCCCTCCCGTTCCGCGTCGCGCTTGTTTCTGCAGCTCCCCTCGTCCTGTCCCCCTTTGCCTTTTGTTTTTTTGAACACAAAATTAAAAATAAATTCAAAATTTTTATTTTAACAAGGGCAAATTGGTCAGGGCACGACGTCGGTGAGAGCAGCGCAGCTGCGGGTCACCCACTACGTGTCGGGGGCCCCGAGGCGGAACTGCCCGGGGTAAACTTTAAGTTTTTCTCTATTGCTGCCTTCCTTAGGCCCTCAAAACCCCCCGTGGTTATCAATAAAGAACGATATTTTTATACGCACTTAATGAGCTATTAGACAAGGCAGCTTGCCTTCCCCCCAGTCTGAGGCCCCCCAGAAATGCAAGTGACCCTACCGCCTACAGCTGCAAACACCTCCTGAGAGCAGCGCCTCCCGTTCCCCTTCCTTTTTACATTTGTACGCGGCTGCAGCTTCTAAGATCTTCTGAGGACCGGTATATGCATTAAGTACTATCTCTATCTAAACTTCCCCCGGCTAGCCGCATCTAGCCCCGACTGGAAACAACGCCAGCCCTCGCTGAGCCTCATCCCCCTCCAACAAGCCCCTCTCTTCTACACAAGGAGTCCCCTCCGTTCTTTCTCCTCCACTCTGCCTATGAGTCTCCCGCTGCAGCGGTTAGCTGCTCGAGCTCCCTAAGCCCGCCTGCTACTATGAACAGCGTTGGGGGCGACGTGGGGGGGCCCTGGCCCGACCTGGCTCCTCC